TATCTGCTTTCTGGACAGCGTTCAACTTTCTGGCTTTCAATGCGATTTTGCATTCTGGAATTCAATTCTGTCATTTTGATATCGCTCATTTTCCTTGCACATCATATTTCTTTGATTAACAAAAAAAAAAACAAGAAAAAGATGTCCATCATGATATCAACAACTAGACCAACAGAAAAGAAAAGCAACACTCTCAGACCGTTTGCATGAAGCTTGGAAGAGGGTCAGGTTCTTAATAGGTAGGTACCCCTTACCGTTTTGACCGTGTGCTGTCATCGTAGGACAAAATGGGCTCTCGTTCTGTGCAATTTACATCCTCTGGCGTTGAGCGCTCCGTTTCCGCTCTTGGTTTTCTTACAGCCGCTTCAAAAATCTTTTTTGACATCGTGACAGCAACTTGCAATCCTGCAGTCCATGTCCGCACAATCTGCATCAGGTCTATGACACATTTCAAAAATTTTCAACATTTGATAAGAAGAGCTCTGGTACCAACTGGCCTAGCGCAGTTGGTACCTCCATGGACTGTTGAAATACAGACCTGAGTTCCGATCCCAGTTGAACCGGATGAGTGAAAAGAACTCTGAATTTAACTGGGGCCGAAAATAACTGTGAATTTACCTGGGGCCAAGTCACTTCAAAAATGATATCTCAAGGCCCCCGCCTGTTTCAAAAAGATGAAGAGAGCTGTGACAAGCGCACACACCAATACACATTTCGATGATCAATCTCTCTGTCATCGAGAATTGAGGTGCAAACTGGGACCAACAGGGATGTCTGTACCAGCAGATATGAACTGTGTACCAGCAGCAAGTGTGTCTGTAATACTCTGGATAGTAAAGTTTATGCGAGGCTACGCCCGCTTAGCCCCTACGGGGCCCTATCTGCAACAAGGTCGGCCGCCCTAAGTGAAGGCAGGCACGACAGGCCCTTCGGGCCTCATTCTTCAGGGTACCCCGCATCGGGGAAATTCAGACAGTTGCGTTGCGCCAGTTGGTTGAATGAATCCAGGCCCTGGGCCGCCTGTGTAAATGAATGTGAAGCAGGCCCTGGGCTGGATACGGGTACCAGGCCAAACACAGG